AAACCACTGACTTTCCATATTGAAGGTCCCATCTGTGTGTGCCTTGGAGAACCGATCTCGAACACCAACCCTCAGATGCATCCTAAGACTTCTGGAGAAATAAACCACCGAGCTGCCAAATAAAGAAATGATGATATATTAAAAATAGTAAAACTTAAAAGCACATTTAAATGGGAGTAATCTAGATGGAAAGAGCATTAAGCTGGCTTCTTGAAGGTGACATCTAATATATGCAAGAAAGAGGCCTTTTCAGGAAATTAAAAATGAATGATTATTTTAACTGATTGTGAACCACTGAAGTAAAAACTCCTGTGCACAGTCTTACCCAGGATCACCTGTGAGTCTCACGGTGAGCATTTTTTAAAAGAAGTTGACATTATGAAGGAAATATTCAAATATATAATTGGTGCATCAGTGCTGAAATTTAAATGTGAGCTGTCATGATATCTTGACGTACTTTCAAATAGTTCAGCAAGAAAAATTTAAGAAACAGAAAATTGCTTAAAATTTGTCACAAGTTTCGTTTTCTTTGCTTCCTTCTCTTTGGCAGGGTGTCCTCTATCACACGCTGGCCTGCAGCTCTCTGTACCTGAAATTGGCCCCTGAGCTCCTGCTCCTCCTCCCTCTGCCTCCCAAAGTCGTGATTATAGGCTATGGGCATGTGCCACCACATCAGATAATTTTGAATGTTTTATGAACATATATTATACATAATAATGGATTTCACCATGATATTTTTACACATGTATGCAGTGTATTTCCATCATCTCACACCTCCCTGTTGCCCTCTTTTCTTCCCAACTGGTCTTCCTTTTATGCCTTTTTTTTCTTTCTTTCTTTCTTTTTTTTAGTTTTGAGGAATGGGCATTTGTTTTACAGGAGCGTGTGCACTTTGCCAGTGGCTGTACTACTAAAGAAGATGTCTCACACCTTCCCCACTCCTCCCCGCACCAAGCTTTAACTGCTTATAAATCCTCAGATAGTGCCCTTTTAGGAAAGAATGGTGAGTGGCTCAATCTTGTGATCCTATACAGGCAATCGCAGCTTGTGGCGAGTGCAAACCTGCAGTTACCTGGGAGTCACTGTTCCATACCATGCCCCTTACTTCCTCAGACTCCTCCATTCTTTCCTTTCCCTTCCCCACAATGCTCCCCGAGCCTTGCAGGGGGTTTTATGGACACCCGCATATGGCTGGGTATCCAGTAGCCATTTATTCTCCGTACTTGGACTGGTTTGAGTCCACAGTCACCGCTGAGCACTGTGTACAGAAGCCACTTTGAGTACAATTTGCAGTGGTACTGTTCTGTGGGCATAGCATGGTTATTTACAAGCCTGTTTGACAGGTATATCCTGCCCTTCAGCAACACAGCAGCAGTGGGTTCCCCACCAGGGCATATTACCTTTCCAGCCAGGGCCTACTGACTAGCTTTTTAGTACCAGACATGAATTCCCTCCTGTGGAGTGAACTGCAGATTCAGTCTGATAGTGATTGGTTATCCCCATAGCAGATGTGCACTATTGCATCATTGGGCTCATCTTTCCTGGCCAGTCAGTATTGCACACAGGGCCCACAAGTGAGTAAGGCCATTGGTGACGGTTCTCCCCAGCAGCCTGCAGAGCACTTGCTTGCAGTGTGAGGGCTAGCCAGCAGGGAGCAAGCTTCCAGCCTGCGTCCAGCTTGATTTCTCCCTGCCCTGTGGTCACAGTGTGTGGGGTCATCTGCAGCAGGGTCTTACCAGCTAGTTCTGGTGGGCAACCAAGAACAGTGGGCAATGACTGGCATTGTTTTGGGGACCTTTGGAGCCCCCATGATGACCAGTTTATAGGAGGGTATCCCAACCTGTGCTAGGATTTTTGTGTAATAATCTACAGCTTACTCTATTCAAACTTATTTCTCTAAAAATTGTTTTTGATTAGCTTACCGAATGCCAGGTTTCCTTGTAGCTCTTCCATGCAGTTTCAGTCGACACTCCTAGCCCCTCAGCTCCCCTCTGCCTGCCCTTGTCCACATAACCCTTTACACCTCAGTGTTCCTCTTTTCACCGTTGTGTGTGTTCTGCCTCCCCTTTACAGAATCTTTTTTTCCCTTCTCGTGCCCCCCTTTTAACTCTCCTGGGCTCCTCATTCTAGCATAAGTGCACATATATAAAAGAGCTGGGATCCACATGTGAGAGAGAACATGTGATGTATTTTCCAGTTCCGTTCATCTTCCTGAAAATTTATTTAACGTCAGTCTTCTTTATGGCTAAATAAAATGCCATCGTGTGTACATACCATGGCTCCATTTACCATCTATTGATGGACATTTAGGTTGATTCTGTTTCTTGGAAACTGTTAATAGAGCAGCAATAAACATGGATGTGCACTTATTTGGTAGATAGGAAGACCTGTGGGCATATGTTGAATAGTGCTGTGACCAGGTCATGTGAAAGTTTTGTTTTTCAGTTTTTGAGAAATCTGTTCACTGGCAGTGTGGCTGTGCCACTGCTGCCACCAGTTTCCTCTTCAGCATTTGCTGTCTTGATATTAACCATGCTAACCGGGGTGAGATGGACTCTCAAAGTAGCTTTAATTTGATTTCTCTGATGGCCAAGGATGTTGAAAACCATTCTACTTTACGTCTCTGTTGCTGTGATAAAACACTGACCAAGACCAACTTGGGGAGGAAAGGGTTTATTTGTCTCACAGTATGTCCTGGGAAGCCAGGCCAGGAGCTCAGCCAGGAACCTGGAGGCAGGAGCTGAAGCAGCGACCATGGAGGATGCTGCTTACTGACTTCTTCATGCCTTGCTCAGCTACCTTTCTTACACATGCTAAGCTCACCAGCCTAGGGATGGTACTGCCCACTCTGGGCTGGGCCCTCCTATGTCAGTTAGCAGTTGGACATGCTGCACACCACTCTGGTGGAGGAAATTCCTCAGTTGATGCTCCCTCTTTCCAGGTTACTCTCGGTTTGTGTCATGTTGACCCCTGGAGCTGACTGTGAAATTAAAAAAAAAAAATACTTACTGGTCATTTGTTTTTCTTCTTTTGAGAACTCTCTGTTTAGTTCCTTAGCCCATTTTTGTTTGGGTTGTTTATTTTCTTGTTGTTTAGTTTCTTGAGTTCTTTGTATATTCTGGATATTAATCCTTTGTAAAATGTATAGCTGGCAGAAATTTTCTTCTGTTCTGTTGGTGGTCTCATCACTCAACTGTTTCTTTCACTGTGTAGAAGTTTGGTTTTTTTTCCATTTAAACAGAAAGTACTTACCCACACCTGTGTCTTGAAGTGTTCTCCCTATTTCTTCCTCTGATGATTTCAGGGTTTGGGGAAACTCTACCCTTGAGCCAGAAACTACCCTGTTGTCCTTCCTCAGTCCCTAGCAATTACCTTTCTGCTTTCTTTCTTTATAAAACGCAATGTTTTGAGAGTTTTTTCATCAGTAGCAAGAGTCTTCAGAGTCTTCACAGATTAAGTTTTGAACTGTCTTCATGCTAATCTCCAGCTGAGTAGGTCTGCCTAGCTGAGAGGCCCCTGGTGCCCCTTCGTTTGTGTGCAGTGCTGTGCTGACCTGCACATTGGCCTCTCCCTTGGGAGAGATTCTGTGACTCATCAGAATTCTTTCTGCAGACTTCTGATCTCAGGTCAGTTTGTTCCTGTTTTTCAGGAAATCTCAAAGTTTAGGTTTTTAAAGACTAATTTTAAGTTTGATACATTGATGTGTCAGGAAAAAGGGTAAAAAATGTTTAATTGCATTTGGTCTTACTGTCTAAAATCCAGTGTTTATTTGCTATTTCTTAGATGGTTGATAATTCTAAAAAATTTTTATCAAACTATTTGGGAAATTTTTCTTAATAAAATAATTTTTAAAATTTATTTTAGTTTTGTGTGTGTGTATCTGTGTGTGTATGCCACGTGTGTGCAGGTGCCTTTAGAGGTCAGAAGAGGGTGTTGGAGCCCCTAGAGCTGGAGTTACAAGCAGTTGTGAGCTGCCTGTCATGAGTGCTGAGATCTGAACTCAGGTCCTGGAAGAAGAGCAAGTGTTCTTAACCACAAAACCATCTCTTCTATAATCATAACATTGTAATTTCCAGGAGGCGGGGTGACGAGAGAGTAATGGAACATGTATGACATGAAGGCAGAATCAAGGACTAACATATAATACAGTGCCTGTGTGTGTATGTGTATGCTTGAGGAGGACAGGAACCAACAAGGAGGGATAGGTGAGCGCAGCAGGGGATGAAAGCAAACAATATAGTGCTGTATGAAGGAAAATGTCATCATGGAGCCCTGTACTTTGTATGCTAACCAAAAACATTTGATGAAAACAATTTAAAAACTAAAACATCTCACTTCTGTACCTTATCTTTTATATTGTATTAAATATGCATTTGTGACTCTTCCATCTCATTTTAAATATCAACCTTAACGTTTTTATTGTATTTATTCATATTCATTCAACAAGCATTTATTGACTATTACATGGTAAACATTGAATAAACAAAGAAGGATATGATGTGGCTTTTACCTTTAAAGCAGTAAAAACAACCTGCCTAGGTGGTTTTAAACAAGCTCTGTATTTAAAAAAGAGTAACCAAAGAACAGAATTGGTGGTTGGTCTAAAAAATAGGTGCAACTATGGGAGAAATAAGTCCTGGAGGTGCAGAGCCCACGACGACTGCAGGTTGCTGGATATGCTGAAAAGCTGGAGCACAGAGAACTGTAGCTGCTCTGATCAGCAGCCACCTGTGCACAGAGTGCTTCAGGGCTAACGCAGCCTCCAGAATCAATAACATTGTGATGTCAACGAATCCCATTACATAATTCATGTAGTCCGAATACATTTCTGGTCATGTCATTTACATTTTTTTCATTGGGTTATTTTTTTTAAAAAATTATCAGTTTCACAAATTGCATTAAATGTATTTTAAGTCTGTTTCTTGGTTAGTTATTTAAATATTTGCCTTATTTAAAAATAGTGCTTGTCTTAGGTTTGTGTTTTCTGATTCTTTTCCCAGTTATAAGGAAGACAGGATGGACGAGGAACTGATGGAACCTCTGAAGTATGCTGAGCAGCTTCCTGTGGCCCAGATAATACACCAGGTTTGCCTTCCATTTGATTCTTTTGAAAGAAATAAGATTTCTAATCTCAATAAGTAATTGCTTTTGTTAGGTTTTCAGAATCCGTGTGGCTAGCTGAAAGGCATTGTGGACCTGCTCTCTCTACTTGAGATTTTTTTTCTTTATCACAGTGGAGAATCCTCAAAGCACAATATTCAAGGCTACTTACTGTGTAACCACAACTCTTATGTAAAATACGGAGTAGTCAAAAATGATCGTTTTGTGCATTACTAATAACAAAACTTAATTTCAGGAGACTTCATTTTGAGCCACGTGGACGGTCTTTGTTAGTGATAAGGAGATATCTGAAAGTTTACCTTTTGGTGTCCTTTTTGGTGTAGCCAAGGAGAGGAAAGAATCCTGCTCTGCTCTTCCCCACCTACCCCATCGTCATCCCTTATAGAGCATGATTCTAAATGTCATGTGGGCAATTTGTTTCATTTCCAATGAGACTATCCCCTGTCTGCATGGTGATAATCTTAGAAAAGGCTATCATTCTGAGCATTTGAGCTTAGATTTCAGACTCTCACTTGGACAGCATGGACCCTCAGTTCTGGCCTGAAGGGCCAGAACCTAATCATTTCAGATGGTCTTGACTGGCCTTTAGATCCAGCAGACTTTTCAGCTCCTTAGAGATTATAGGAAATAGTAAAAGGCCTTATATGTCAGAATTCCTCAGAACTGTTATGAATATTATTATTGGGAGTTTTTCCATGTATCCTTTTTAATCAAAAGAATTTTATTTGGCGTCTATGGGTTGTCAGCAGTGCCAGTTTGAGTCTATTAAAAGAAGCAGAGGCTTTTAATTGAAAATTTTGGCTATATAGATCTTTTCATTGATACTAAAATTTGCTTTTAAGATGCTATGTGAATTTTTAAAAATGTGAATTTTAAAAATTTGGCCCTTTGAGATGATCCTTTGTGTATGGTAACCAGGTCCAGTTTATATGTCAGGAATTCCCTAGTGTTGTCAGAGCTTAAATGACCTAAGAGTCTGCAAATGTCACATTTAAAATTCTGTCTTCATGCCTGACTCTCAACATAAATGAATTAAACAGCAGAGCAGGCAGCAAGTCAATATGTTCTCAACAGTAAGAGTGAGCGCTGAAACAGTGTGGTAATAGGTAAATAGAATCTGCCCAGAGCTGGTCACCTAGAAGGAAATCTGAAAGCAGAAACAGGAATTAACCTTTAAGACAGCTGACCAGATGAAATGTCAGAAATATCTTAACATGAAGGAACCAGTAAATAGCCCACTTGCTGTGTTTTGTAGTTAAACACTGGTTGACTTCAGGGTAAAGCATTTGACCCTGGTGGAAATTCTAGATTTTTCCCCAGTATAAGAGACTGTATTAATTTTAACACTGAATTATAAACAGCATAATTAAAAATCTGTAGTACTTGATGTCATAAAATCTCAGTCTTTAAGGAATTTTGCATGATTGTTTATTTTTATCAAACAGAATTAAGGAGCAGTCAGGAAATGCCACTGTTAATAGCAGACTTTATTCTCTTCTCATGACATTCCCCATTCATGGTAAAACTAAAACAGGACTTGTTATCATGCACTGTCTGGGTAGAGTTCACTTAGTAAGGGATTATTTATCTTTCAATTAATTAATTAATTTTATGTGTACGAGTGTTTTGCTTGCATGTATGTAAATGCACACATGTGTGCAATGCCAGAAAAGGGTATGGGAGTCCCCTGGAACTGGAGTTATGGGCAGTTGTTGGCTACCATGTGCGTGCTGGGAACTGGACCAGGTCCTCTGCAAGAGCAGCCTGTGCTCTTCACCCTGAGCCAGCTCTGCAGCCCCTGTTTACATTTTTAAAAAATATTTTTTAAATTAATTTTTATTTTTAAAATGTGTGTGTGTGTCTGTGTGTGTGCACATGTGTGCGTACATGCACGTGAACATGAGTGCAGGGGCCTGTGGAGGCAGAGGCATCAAATTCCCTGGAGCCAGATTTACAGGTGGTCATGAGCCACCCAACATGGGTGCTGGGAACTAAACTCAGGTCTTCTGCAGTTGTTCTTAATCTTTTAGCTATTTCTCCAGCCTCAGTATGAGAATACTTGAAAGCAACTTCTCCTTAAGAAAATAGTCATAATGTGATAATTAGGTTCAGCCAGTTCCACAGAGCTTTTAAATTATAGCATTATTGTAGTAACTAGCTGTTATCTGTAACTATTTGTATGAGAAGTAATCTTGCGTCTCAGTCATTGCATAATTCGTACCTGGGGTGTGTGAAGTTTTTACAATCAGGAGCCACTTACGATTCTATCATTATTCCCACTTTGTACGGACAGATTTTTTACCATTTTTTGTTTCTAGAAGTCTTAGCAGATATGATTGTATATCTAAGAAATCCAAGAAATTCAGGTTCTAAGCAGTCAAATCTGGCAAGATGGGTAGGTAAATTAAATTGATAACTTTATACTTGGAATAAACACATAAAATGGAAATGGAAAAGTTTTCTATCACAACAATAAAAAGAACTGTTAAGTAATTAAAATTACATATAACGAGTTAACTTTAGAACCTATAAGAGGTATTGTGGTAATATACTGTATTTGGGGAACATCAAATCCTACCAAATACCTGATGGTGCAGAGAGAGAAAAACAATATCATAAAAAGCATAAATGGTTCCAAATAACAAATTTAATTCTAATGGAAATGTTTTCTTTAACATCAGGAAAAATATGACCTTGTGAGATGTGAAAAGGTGTCTAAGTGCCACCACATAAAGTGTGTAAGAGAGAGCGGGGCTTGCTTTACTGTGTACGAGAACATGACTTGAGAGAAACAGAGTCAGATAAATAAGGTACAGAAGAAGGAATAGACACACGGGTCACTGGAACATAGGAAGAGAGGACTTGACACTGCTGGTCATAATCTAACTGTGTTGTACTATCATCATGCCCCTGGACACAAGTGTGTTAGACAGAAGTGAAGGTCTCATGACCTGTCACCCTCACTGTATGTGATGCGCTGGTATACTCTGACATGACCTGTCACCCTCACTGTATGTGATACGCTGATACGCTCTGACATGACCTGTCACCCTCACTGTATGTGATACGCTGATACGCTCTGACATGACCTGTCACCCTCACTGTATGTGATGCGCTGGTACGCTCTGACATGACCTGTCACCCTCACTGTATGTGATGCGCTGATACGCTCTGACATGACCTGTCACCCTCACTGTATGTGATGCGCTGATACACTCTGACATGACCTGTCACCCTCACTGTATGTGATGCACTGATATGCTCTGACATTCCCCTCTTCCTTTTCCTCTTTATACCCGTTTCCTTTTGATACCCTCCCATACCCCCTGCTCCTGGAGTTCAAACCTCTGTCATTTATTTTAAGGCCTATTGTGTAAAGTTAGTCCCTCAGTGCAAGTTCATCCACTGGGATCTAGTCAGCCTATCTAGAGTCCCTCCCTTTAAGAAGATCAGCTCATTCTTACCCAGCAGTAATCAGCTGCCAGTAATTCTTTGAGTAAGATTGGAGCCTGATGTTCATTTTCACAGTTCTGTGCTAGTTTTTGTCTGCTGTTTGCATGGGTCTTGTGCATGCTGACACCTTTGCTGTAGATTCATATGAGAAGAGTCCCAGGAACCTGTAGGACGGTTTCCATACGGTCATGCTCCTCCTGCCTGACTCTTACACTCTTTCCTCTCCCTTTCCCTCAATGATCCCTGAGTCCTGGGTGGGTGGGTTTTAATATAGGAGTCCTGTCCTACGACCCACACTCTGCAAACTCTTATTCTCTGTGTTTTGGCCATTTGTGACCTTTTGCATTCCTGGCAAGAAAGAGGAGAGAGAAATAGTACCTAGCTAGTATAAAAAACCAGAGGGAATTGTATTAGTCTAAAGCCTACTGAAAAATTATGCATACAATATCTCTACATAAGTTTGTGAGTATAGTTGAAGGCTACATAACAAGAAACAGTGCCAGACAGGGGAAACCTTCCTTTGAATTGTTGGCCAGGGTAGTCCAAGAGACTCCCAAAATTACACAGGCTATTGCCACAGTCCTTGATTGTCTCCCAGAACTTGATGGCAAAACCCTATTTCTGAAGTCGGGACATACTTTGGACACAGGATTTGGAGCAATGGAGTTGGAACTGACCTGGCAGCCACTTCCCCTGAAGGCTAGCTCTCATAGCTTTGGAGACCATTATGCAAGCTGCTAAGGGAGAACATCAATAGATGGTCTAACCCCAGCTTGAAAGTCTAAAAACTACATCAGTGACCAGCACAGCAAACGACATTGGTGCAGTAGTGGCACTTTTATCTTGGGAGTAATCAACAGCTACCTAATTGGACTTAAAGCCTACTCAATGGGAGGAAACTCATGTGTGGTACTGTGAACATAGCCAAATACACATGACTGAGAGGTAATAGATCTTAGAGAAAACTCCCAGGCTGTCACATCCCTAGACAAATGTAATATAGATCCTTAAATCTATAGGCAAGCATCCCAGTCACCAGCACCCATCAAAGAAGCTTCTTTTTTTTTGGTCTTTTTGAGACAGGGTCTCCCTGTAGCCCCAGCTGTCCTGGAACTCACTATGTAGACCAGGCTGGCCTTGAACTCACAGAGATCCACCTGCCTCTGTCTCCCGAGTGCTGGGATTAAAGGCCAGGATTAAAAGCATGCACCAGCATGTGTTACCACGCCCGGCAGAAGCTTCTTTTTTAAGAGACAGAGATAATTACAGAGTTCCACAACTGGTTACACACAGATTGTCTGTGAATTGCCAAAGCCTAAGTGGCACATCTAGGATGCACCCTCTGCACTTAAAGCTCACAGAACATAGAACAAGGGATGAAGAGAACACTAATGCATCTTTCTATTTTATGCTTTTAAGATGCCAAATAAAGCCTGCTATGTTGATTTTACAGGTAACAACTGTAGAATTGAAATTGCATACTGTGATGGTTTCAATGAAAATGTCCCCCG